TAAAAACTATATTTCCAAATAAGGTAACATTCACAGATGATTTGGACTTTGCCACTTTAGGTGGGGGGTGCAGAATTCAACCCCTAACATAGTGGAATATTATTCGTTAACAAAAATTAAGGCGATATCAAGCCACTAAAAAGATGTGGAAGAAACTTCAATGTCTGTTGCTGAATGAAAGGGGGCAGTCTGACAGAGCTACCTATTGTATGATTCCACCTACACAACATTCTTGAGCAGGTAAAATTAAGGAAAGAGTGAAAAGATCAGTGATTGCTAAGGATTCAGAGGGAGACAAGGAAAGATGAACAGATGGAGCACTGGGAATATTAGTGCTGTGAAACTATTCTGTATGATGTTGTAATGGTTAATACGTGTTGTTATACATTTGTCAAAACCTGTAGACTCTACACTACAAAGAGTGAACCCTAATGTGAACCATGAAGTTTAGTTCATAATATTATATCAATATTGGGTCTTCAATTGTAACAATGTACTACATAAATGCAAGATGTTAATAATAGAAAAAACCTGTGTGCTGGGGCAGTAAGGGGATATATAGGATCTCTCTGTTCTTTCTGTTCAAATTTTCTGCAAACCTAAAACTACTCTAAAAAATAAAATCTATTAATTTATTTCACAACAACAATAAAAAGTTCCAGGTTCTAAGTAGCTCCATTAGCTTCAGTGGTCAAAAGGAAGGGCCTCTCTGAAGAGACAACCTTTACATCTGACCTGAAGGACAAGAAGATGTTTCCCTTGTGACGTGCAGATAGGAGGGTTTCTAGTAAAAAGAAGAGCTGGAAAAGAGACTCTGCAGTGGAAAGCTGCATGTGCCTGAGGAACACTGTGAGGAACAGAGGGAGTTCCCAGGGCAAGGCAGAAGAAGGAGGCAGGCAGGGACCTGATCAAACAGGACTTTTAAAACAGAGCATAGTTTGGATTTTAGTGTGATATGAAATCATTAGATGGCTAAATAGGGATGTACTAGGATATAATATATTAAAATAAATATCACTATGGCCTTTGGATATAAAACATAAATTGTGTTTGGAGGCAACACTGGAGGCAGGAAGATTGGTTAGGAAGACATTACAATGGTCCAAGCAGGAGATAATACTGGTTTGGACTAAGGTGGAGTCAGGGGATATAGAGGTGTGGGTATACTTAAGATATGTTGATAAAGGTAATGGAAGAGAGGACTTCTCACTGTGTCAATCATCTATGACACAACTACAAATCTGGAAATACATGGAAATATCAACTTGGTTACAGGCTGAAGTCCATGCCCTTTGCCATTCACATCCTCTTCCGTGGAATGAAGACTCATCAGATAAAATATTGTTTTAAATAAATGGACTTTGTGAAATTGCACATCATAGTTGCTTTTCATAATGTTTGCTGTAATAGAATTTTACTTATATCTAAAACCAATTTAGTATGGACATATTTCCAATTTTCTTTCACTTTTCACTGAAAATTTTTAACTACTGGAGTTGGAAAGAAAGTATCTCTTTTAGTAGAGAGAAAAGTTAATACAACTGAACAACTTGATATCTTTAGCAACTATGTAAATAAATATACACATCTTTCTTTTATTTACATTTGGTGAGCCACATCTAAAATATATGCTAGCAAAATGGGGAGCTGTGAAATACAATGACAGCACACTGATAGATATCAGTTACAATCTGGCAAGGAAAAGAAGGGAGTTGCTTTCATTTTCTGTTTGTTTTTAGAATTATTCTTAAAACTAGATAAATACGACAAATGTGCCAATTTTTTGCCTCAATATTTTAAGATGAATGGCAAAAAATTAGAAAGAAAAGGACAACCTAATGTTTAAAATATGGCAAATGAACAAATTCTGTATTATCCATTTCTAAAGGAAAAATTCTTCAAAATTTAAAAATTTTTAAGAAATTCAGCAAAATTGCAGTAGTCTCTGAAACATTACTATAAAAAGTAGATTATTTTGTTTCCTCTGGGAAAAACTCAAATAGATGCAGGATAATAGTCTAATGAACAAGAATGGCAGGATGGCTAACAAATACTTTTAATAAGATATAAAACAGAATAGTGCGTTTGAATTTTATATTTTGATTACTCTTATCCATCCTTTCATTTTATAAAGTTATGGCTGATTCATAAAAATAAGCGATATTAGGAAATATGTTTGCTCAGTGAAGAAGACATAGCACCCTTGGGCTATTATTTACAGAAGTGACATCATTCATCTTTCTAATCCATTCTAAGTCGCTTATGCCTTGGCCCTCAATGCTGTTTGCTACCGACATTTATTTATCCAGAGTAAAACAGTAGCTATCAACTGAGCCACACTATCTTCTTTAAAAATTCCACTTTAGGCCGGGCGCAGTGGCTCAAGCCTGTAATCCCAGCACTTTGGGAGGCCGAGACGGGCGGATCACGAGGTCAGGAGATCGAGACCATCCTGGCTAACCCAGTGAAACCCCATCTCTACTAAAAAATACAAAAAAATAAAACTAGCCAGGCGAGGTGGTGGGCACCTGTAGTCCCAGCAACTCAGAAGGTTGAGGCAGGAGAATGGCGTGAACCCGGGAGGCAGAGCTTGCAGTGAGCCGAGATCCGGCCACTGCACTCCAGCCTGGGCGACAGAGTGAGACTCCGTCTCAAAAAAAAAAAAATTCCACTTTATTCATTTTTTGGTCAAGATTTCACCAATTTTTGAAGTTTACTATTTGCAAATATATTATTTTCTTGCTATAAAATATATCTAATGTCTATACATGAGTAATATTTCTTTTTCTCAGCTTCAGGAAAAACTTTACAGCTGTAAGTTGAATAAACACTATGTTGTTAAACACGCCATTGATGTGATGTTAAATACATCAATAGAAAGGAGAAGATGGATCTGTTGCATCTACTGCCACTTCTCTATAAATTTATTTTTATTTCAAAATAAACCAACAATTTATTTAAAATAAACAATTCCTACAATATTTACATTGCACTATCCCAGTTTCAGTAATTTTTATTCTGAAGGTTTGCAAGGAACTGGCATTTTTACCTTATATATTCAGAAGCTTTGCAAACACTTTAAAAAACTATCTAAAACCTTTAAAATCTATCTAAAAGTAGATGTACTTCTATGTATTTTTTAAATAAAATATTAAGGATATTAAGTCATTGTAATGATGGAAGCATAAAGTCAAGCTTTTATTGGGTAGCTACAGAAGTTGTAATTAGATTCTTTTTTGTTCCTTTTTGCTTAAGAATTTTATGAGTTGCCTGAATAGGAAAAATTAAATTAACAGGTTTTTTTTTTTTTTCTTTTAACCTGTTTCTGCTTTTGAGAGGTCCTCAATCTCAACCGGGATGCGAATGGGGCATTGTGGGAGACAGGAGAGGAGAATACTGGGGAGAATACTCAGAGCATTGGCGGTAACCTTTCAATTCCAGCACTGAAGCAACAGACTGAGAGGAGGTGAACCTTTTCCTTCTCCCAGGCACAGACAAGGCGAGGTGAGGCAGAGATGGATTGCAGAACCCCATTCAGCAACCGTGGGGTGGAAGACAGTGCAGGGTGTCTCCAGGCTCTGGAAGGGCTATCTTCTCCTTTCAGAGCACATTTCTGCACAGGTCTTTTAATTCTCAGTGCAGCTCGCTCCCTGGTGGCTTAAATTACGGTAAACGAAATAACGTCCGTTAAAAACCACTTCTGAAGGGGGTGATTGTTGGGGGTTTTGAAAGCACAGAGGTCTTATAGAGACCAAAATTATGTGCCTCGTTAAAGATACAGAAAGGCTTGTAAGTGAATCTTCATAACTCTGGGTACGTGCATGTATATGCACATATACGCATGCATGTCTCTTTTCTATACCTTAATATAAGTTTTCTGCCCAAAACTTTCCTCGTCCATGCGTTCCCTACCATGGCACATCTAATCGTCTGCCCTATTTGTGGCTGCACAGCTCATTCTGCAGCCGGCTGGGGAGCTGTTGCTTCTGCCAACGCCGTCGTCAGCCAGAGCGCTGAAGAAATGCTGAAGGCCAGCAGGCAACGAAAGAGTAAAGAAAACGCTCTCCTCCTGCCCATCTCCTCCACCACCGCCTCCCCAGTCCTCCCAGGTGACTCCCAAACACAGCAGAAAGTTGGCTCAGAGATAGGGCAGAGGAACCGGGGTGGGGGGTGGGGGGGGGCGCTGGGCGGCTGAGGCCGGGAGGTGGTAGAGGCGGGTCCCGCAGCCCCGAGAGCCCCCCGCGGCCGCCACGGCAGCTGTCACCTCCTGGCCTCGCCCCACAGCACACCTGAGCCTCCTGGGCAACCCTGAGCCCACAGCTCCCAGCCGCAGCGCTAACTGCCCTCCTCAAGCACAGGTCGCCGCGTCCCCAACTCCCTGTCCTCACCCCGGCCCGCCCGTCGCCTCCTCCGCCCTCTCCCGACTGCAGCGGGGGCAGCGCTTTGGCGCTCCCAAGGACTCTCAGCCACTCTCCCAGCACGGGCAGCGGCGGCCGCGGCGGCCACTACTGGATCCCGGCACTGCAGCCTGCAGTCCAGGACACCCCCGGCCGGACGATGGGGACCCGCGCCTGAGCATCCCCGGGGCAGGCGCCAGGCGCGAAGGCAGGGGGCGGGAGGAAAGGGGCGGGGGAATTCCTGATTCCCTGGCGGACCCTGGAAGTTGTCCTTAAATAAATATATCGCTGGCCCGCGGTTGAGCAGCCACCTCGTCAGAGCAGCATGTGGACTGGCTCGCCGGGTCCCCTCCGTGCTCTGTGCTGTCGCCGCCACCGCCTGTGTCAGAGCTGCAGCTGTTGGCAGCAGGAGCCCCGCACGGGGCGCGGAGCAGGGACGCGCTGCCGCCGCCTCCCCCTGCGTCCTGCTGGCCACTTCTTCTCGGGAGGTGGCAGTCGCTGTTGCCGCTAAGAAACCCGCCCGCTTTCCACGGCTGGTCGCCTTGTGAGGAGTTGAGACTCTGCGCATCCGCCCGGACCCACATGGCTTGTTACCTGGTCATCAGTTCGAGACATCTCAGCAATGGGCACTACCGGGGCATTAAAGGAGTCTTCAGGGGACCCCTCTGCAAGAACGGATCTCCCTCTCCGGTAATGTGCGCGCGCACACACGTACACACACAAACGTTCCAACTCAACACAAACGAAAAGATATTGAGAGATAGTATCCTGATTCAATGAGTAGATGGTGGACATCTAAAACGTAAACCTTATCCATAGGTATGGAGGTACATCGTGTCCATTTATACAATTTATTGACAGACTGTGACACAGAGAGGGGTGTGTATTTACATGTGTATTTTCAATCCAGTCAGTAGGATCTATAGTGCTACGGATGTAAATATTTACTGAATGCAGTTAACTGCAGGGCTCTGAAGGTAGCTCCTCTGTGCTATGTCAACTTACGCATCTGCTGATTTGGGCAGTGTAGAAAGTTTGACTGGCACGTTATAATGTGCTTTGTGAAGTCATCAGTTGAGATTAGTTTAATAATGCTACTGTTACTTTATGAGAAAAACTCAAAGATTTTGCCTCAAATCACTGGCAAAAGGAAAGGTATAGGTAGTGAAAACTTGATTATATCTAATGCTCAACTATGCACATTCTTTAAGGGGAAGTAAAAGAATTCTTTATGGAAATCTGAGTTGGATAGTTTATTGTATAATATACAAATATATTAACATGCAATTAGAGTGATTGCTTTTTAACTTAGTAATCTATTCAATTTAGTTACTATTCAGTTTATTCATATTCTTTTTATAAAATAATTTCATCCAGATTATATGAGTTAAATCCATTATTAATTCATTTCTTGGTACATACTATAAACTAATGTTTTAAGACTCCAAATGTGTTTCAAGAAAATGTGTGTGAATGTGTATGTGTGTGTGTATGTATATATATATAAATTTTGGACTACTAGTGACTAAGTATGCAAACTTAAAGACCAACTTTTGAGGTTTAATATAAAAAACAGTATTTAAGTCTGTATATCAAGAGGGAAAATTGAAATTACCCAATTTTAATTTTTGTATGGTTGATATTTTCCATCATGGCTTAACGCTTCATTAGCATGAATTATTCAAAACTGCAACATATTATAAAAACCTTTGATTATTAATAAATACTATATGTAATTTACATGAGAAATCTAAAATCAGAAAGTACAAGTGCCTAGAGATATCACTAGGATTCCTCATGACAAATTATTCCTTCACATGCTTTTATGTACTACAAAAAGTGGATTGTTGCAACTATTCCCCCCAACAACTGTATACAATACTGAGTCAGAACTGTTAGATGGAAAATACTGTTTATATGAGTACTTAACAATTAAACTCACAGGGTTAGCAGGCACTTGCAGAGTTCTAGTTGAATAAAGCCCACATTCAGTCCCTCTAAGTAGCAGGTCTGAATCTTTCCCATTTCTAAAGATTCTCAGAATTGGAGTTCCTGCAGTCTCAGCAAACCACTTTAATGTTTAACAACGCACAGTGCCAGGAGAATCTTTCTTACAGCAAACTTAAATCCTTTACATTCTTCTTTAGGTCCATTTTTATCTAGAAAACCTACAGTGTTCCGCCTTTTTCACAGGTATTATTTTTCAACGCTTTGGTAATCTCTGTGCCTGTCTTTCTTGCCCTCCTTTTGGTTATGGAAAACTAAATTGGATAGTGCATTGTACTGTTTGTGCCTCAAGACTTCTCAGTATAAAGGGAGAATTGCTTCATAATCTTACACGGTTTAGTTCTTTTCAAGTTGGTTAGACTATGGTGTTCATCTTCCCAAATCTGTAGGGCTTGCAGAGGAATTTCTGTTACACAGTCAAAAAGTGTCCTTTCTCTCCCACTTGTTCAGTCATCTCCCAAGAGCCTGACTGATGCTATAGAGACTAGATGTGTGAATGTAGATGAGAGAAGACAGCCCAGTGACCACACGGCTGTGCTGGTTGACCAGGGTTCATCAGGTACTCCCCGCCCACAGGGCACTATTTTTATTCACTGCTGGGCTGGTTTTTACTAAAGTACAAATTAATTAACTTTGCTATCTAGGATCTACACTTTGACTCACTGGAAGGTTCTCTCCAATATTAATTTACACATTTGGATGTACTTAAATTACATATGCATCATCAAAAAATATCTAAATTAAATGATGTATGTACTTTCTCAACACTATTTGATTTACTTGGTCTTCTTTTACATTTTATTATGGAATTTGCATGGCTTTTTCAATATTTGAATAGTTTTTCATGTGAGCTGGGCACTGTGTGAAAATTTGTGTTTATTCATTCTCTGTCATTGGCAGGTTGTCGAGATGAGTCTTCCAACAAGTTGAGGTCCTCTTCCCATTACATAACACTTAACCTTTCTCCCTAAGTTGAAATGGATCACTACCATCTGGACTTTAGACCTTTACACATTTGAAAACTTTCCTAATCTAGACAAATGTATGTTTGCCTTCTTTATTAATTAGTTGCAAAGTATGAAACTGTAAACTGTGATTATAGATCTTTTTTTTTTTTTATTCAGCAATACACATTCCCCAGTTATTTTCAGGTTGACATAACTTTATTGATTTTTTTCCTTTAGTATAAATGTTAAACTCAGAGATCCACAAAATATATTCATCTATTTTTAAAAAACACAGCTACTCTCACATTATTTTTTTTTTCAAATTTAGTGCCAGGAATGACCTAAAATTGACCTCTACATCAATGACTTTAATTATTTCCACTCACTGGAACTCAGTTTATTTAGTATAGAGATATTCTTAGTTGACTTAACTAACTTTCACTAAGCTTTCCAATACTTTAACTTTGGTCCTTGCCCTTTTAATCCAAGTGTCTCTCCTATTAATTTTGTTCCACATTTTTCTGTTTTATTAGAACTGTTTACATGTAGAACATGGTCTTAATATTCAATTAAAAAATCATTGGTTAAGACTACTTTCTACCTCTGCTACAGAAAGGAGAAAGTTACAATCCCTTTTTGACATAATAAGGATTTCTTTTTTTGTAGTTCTGATATAAATATACCTGGATATTATGGATAAAACATTTCACTTGCCTATAGACATAATTCTTCAATTATATAGGTAAAGTAGTTGTGTACATTTATGTTCAAATCACATGTCTATAAAATCTGAATATATGATATTAAGCTGAAAGTAAAAAAGAATATATTTATTTCAAAGGATTTCATTTAGAAAACATGTTGAATCATTACATGGAATTGTTATAATAAATTCTTAATGAGTTATTTGAGAAATAAAGCATTTTACCCCCAAACAGTTTTCACAGATCAGTAAACTGAAAATCCCAGAGTGAAATTCAGCTTCTATCTTCAAAGCGAAAACATGGTAATGTATTTTATCTATTGCATCTCTCCTCTTTTTAGAGACTGTGTGTGAAAAAATAGCATACTGCTCTTTAAACCTAATTAAAATGCGAATAATTGAGTGGAGATAGTTTATACTACTTTAAATCCAGGGATATATTAAAGAAAGTAAAAGAAAAGAAAAATGAGAGGATTTTATGGTGCTTAATGATAAAAGTCTCTATTTTTAGAAATTGTGCATTTTCTAAATTCTTCACAATTTATGATGCTTATCCCCTATTCTATCTAACCTCTAAAATAATATGACTGCATGATGACTTTAAAAATCATTATAAGATACACATACACACATTATAGATAGATACACATTGCTATCTGTGCTCAAGTCAAATAAGTTATTTATATATTATACAGTCTTCTACCATCAAAGATATTAATGGTAAAACTTTGTTTTAATAATTGGGAGCACTTAGGAGACCCAGCAAGCCAGTCCACATGGTCTGCTCTGAAGAGGTGGCTGCTCAGTTTAATAATTAAATTTAATAACTTAATCAATAATTAAGCTATTCATGAAGAACACAGTCTATAGATGAATTCAGTGTTCATGAACTTCTAAGTTCTATCACCACATTTGAATTCAATAAAACAAATATCTTCTATGTAACAAGAAAAATATATTTGACTTGATTTTTAGTTATGTAATCTAAAATAGCATCTCAAGTTTATATTTGAATGTAGTGTGGTTAATAGTGAGACTATCATTTGGGATACCTATTGATTACATGTTAATAATAATGGTAGATATGTATTTTATCTGTGGTACATATTTAGCTTATTCTTACTCTTTTGAAGTTTAGATAAGTTTACATTTCTTAAGAAGTGCTTATTCCTGGGAGCACCATAGAGACTAGAAGGATGTGGAATATAAATAAACAAGCATTTTAAATGGACCAAAAATCTACATAATTCCCTTGATAAGTTACAAATGTATATATCTATAAATGAAAGAAGTTCTAGAAGAGATGAACTACCTTGAAGGTGCGTCCATCCAGAGAACTTCTTAAATAAGGAAATGAATGCAGTTAAGCCCTTGTCCTTTTTTTTAAATGCCTTTAATATCTGATTGTGTATATTTTCATTATGCTTAATAAATACACATTAAAGACATTCAAAATTGTTCTCAAAGTGATGTACTTTTCAAGTGCCAAATATAATTATGAAGACATGCCCTCCTGTAGAGAAGTCGCCTGCATCCTCTTCTTGAATTCATGAATACGTAATACTGCCTTTGATGTTGAAACTTTCAGATGTTTTCAATAAAGACGACTCCGTTACAATTCTTATAATACATGTTCTCTTTATATGTCAAGTATCATATAAAGCAACCTCCTTTCTTCTCATTGCCTTTACAATCATTTCTTCTTTCCCCTAATTGATTTCAAAAACTTTGTAGTTAGCACTTATGCTAGTTGGTACTTTCCAGAACCTAAACAAATTTGTGTTTATTTGACTTCAGAAAGTTTCCTTAGTAAGAAGACTCAAATAGGTATTTGAGTGCTATAATTTGTGGCTTATATTAGATTATACTACATTTATTTCATAATTAAAATTTGAGGGCTTATATACCTTGATTAGTTTCTTTTAGATATATGATTAAAATAAACTCTATTTTAGTTTCTGCTCCATAATTTGGAACTAAAATAAAAATGAAACATGTTGGTATCATGGGTAGGCTAAATGTGCATGGCATTTAACATAGAACTTAACTATTTGTGGCTTAAAAGAAAACATTATGTTAGTTGTAACTGTGAAATTTTTCTGTATAACACATATGCACTAAAATACATATTTTCATGTGTTAGTAATAACAGAGCTTGAAATGCCAGTGGGTTTTAGGCTGTGTTGGAAGCAAAGAGCAAGAAGAATGATATATATTTCAAATAACTATCAAGTGCCTTTCAGTGTGAAGTTGATTTTTTCAAAATACACATTTTCATAATTCTTTGGTATATATGAACATATTTTGTAGAAATAATCTGAATGAAAATTGAAATAAAAATGCTGCTTTGCTTGAAAATGCCTTTGGAATATAACAAATGTAGTTTTTCATAAAAATTCAAGTAACTCTTATAAAATGACAGCTGAAAAAGCCTTTTGTAGATTGATTTTACAAATCAGGTTTACTTAGAGAATAAGATCTGAAGAGAGAAATTAAATATTTGATATGTTTTCAAGAAAAAGTATAGTTATAGTGATAATAGCGATATACCAATTCCCAAGTTATGTGGTCTCTTGATTCGGAAGTACTTACTAAACTTGGAAGAAAATTCTGGAAAAATAAATTGCTTCCTACATTAGACAGCATTTTCAGTTGTAGCTAAGACACTCTAAACTTATTGAAGACAAAAAATACAAAATAATATATGGTGTTTAAATTGGAGAAGGATTTCTGTTCTTGTGATAGTTTGCTGAGAATGATGGTTTCCAGCTGCATCCATGTCCCTACAAACGACACAAACTCACCCTTTTTCATGGCTGCATAGTATTCCATGGTGTATATGTGCCACATTTTCTTAATCCAGTCTGTCACTGATAAAAGTATTAAAAAAAAAAATTGGAGAAGGACCTGTAATCCCAGCACTTTGGGAGGCAGAGGTGTGAGGATCCCTTGAAGCCAGAGTTTGAAGCCAGGTATTCTAGACCAGCTTGGGCAACAAGCAAGACCCCATTTCTAACAACAACAACAACAACAAAAATTAGCTGGGCGTGGCAGCTCATGCATATGGTCGTAGCCACTTGGAAGGCTGAAGAAGGAGGATCGTTTGAGCCTAGGAGCTGAAGGCTGCAGTGAACCATAATGAGGTCACTTCACTCCAGCCCCTAGGCAACAAAGGGCAACCCTTGTCTCAAAAATAAATAAATAATACAGAAAAGGGGGTTTTGATTTGCTTTTTAAAATATTCGCTAAAGATATTAATTTTCCTGAGATAGCACTCAGATAACATGTATTCGACTAATCTCTTATTTCTTTCAAATTTGATATCTAAATTCTAAACTAATACTTCTGAAGAACTGATAATATATTTTTCTTTTCACAGAAAAGGATAACTATACTGTTGAGTCATTTTCTTTTCTTTTTGGCTGGGAGGAAGAGACAAATCTGTGACTTAGCAAGGGGATAGGGATTGATGTTGGCCTTAAAAGCAACATGATATACCCATCTCTGCTCATCTGTTCCTAGTCCAGCTCTTATTTTATTTACAATGGCTCTCATTATGTTTACATTTATATTTTGCTGTTTTAATGTATAAAGCTTCTTTCAGATGACTTAGATCTGTTGTGAAAACAAGTTGGGTTGTAAATCAATAATAAAATATTGAATATCCAAAGTAAGGATGTTACTCAGGATTTTGCACTGGACAGCAATGAGAATGATTCATAGAGATTATTCAGTTTGTTCATTTCTAGCAAGTATAATTAGGACTGCCAGTTTTCTTTTTTTCTTTGACAATTGGCAATTTCCTTTTGGCAAATTTTATTTCACTTTTGTGTGGGTGTAAGAGGCAGAATATAGCTTATTTTGAAACGGATATTGCCAGTTTTTTCTTTTCTTAAAAAATCTTCTTCC